GATTGCTGAAATCCAGCTGGAAGGAATGCTTCCAGATTGCTGAAATCCAGCTGGAAGGAATGCTTCCAGATTGCTGAAATCCAGCTGGAAGGAATGCTTCCAGATTGCTGAAATCCAGCTGGAAGGAATGCTTCCAGATTGCTGAAATCCAGCTGGAAGGAATGCTTCCAGATTGCTGAAATCCAGCTGGAAAGCTTGATGGAGTGCTTCCAGATTGCTGAAAGAAAGCTTGATGGAGTGCTTCCGGATTCTGTATCCTTCAAAACCAATACAAATTTTCAGAAATGCTTACTGAATGGAATATTGCAACAATATTGGTGATATTATTGCCCATGTTGCTCCAAGCACACTTGTGCATACTCAGGCATGAGCAGACATGAAATGGTGAATAAACATATGCACCCTTCTAAAATGCTGTATGTGTACATGTGACACAGTTATACAGTGTGGGTGTTAAATTAATATGCATGCTATACTTGGTGTTGGCTATGCCAAGACTGCCAGGCAAATAATGTAAATACCATGACTGCTGACTCTCTACTTCTCCTTCCGTTACCCTTCCCTCTTAATAACTCACAGGCAACCAAATTTGTGGGTACGGGCAACGGTCCCAGCTTTATTCATCAACCAGCATAACGTAATAACTATTAGCTGCCGCCAGGGCCGCCATCAGGGGGTGACAACCATGACGGTTGTCACAGGGCCGGTGGCCCTTGGGGGCCCGGCTGCCCGGGCCCCTCGTGTAGTGGCGGAACTGCTGCCGGTGCAGTTGCACCGGGGCCCGCACGCTGTTGGGGCCTATCGGGTGGCCCACGCACTTAGGGACACCCGATCAGTGGCGTCTCTAGGATTCATTTTTCGGGGGGGGCACATGGAGGGCCAGTGACAAAAGTAGGGGGGCACATTTAACCCCGCCCTCGCAGTGTGACCCCGCCCCTGTTGCATGTTAAGCCACGCCCCCGACACAATGTGTTTTGTTTTTTTAATAAACCCTGGTGGAGGATTCATTATTTTCCACCAGGGATTATTAAAAAAACAAACACATTATCCTTGATACAGTGCCATAGTTGCCAACATTTGAAAAAAAATTTCCAAGGACATTTTGCAGCACAGCTATCAATTACTGTCTGGGTATAATATCCCTGGACAGTCAGTGCTCTCTGTATAATACAGGGCTGTGTGTATAATAAATTGGGACACTCAGTGCTCCCTGTATAGTGCTGCTCTCTGTATAATACAGGTCTGTTTGTGTATAATATCCCAAGACAGAGAGCAGCACTATACAGGAAGCACTGACTATCCCGGGATATTTTATACACACAGATCTGTATTATACAGATAGCTGAGCATATACCCCAATCTCTAGACTACTAGTACCTGTCAACAGCAGCTCCCAGACGCGTGTAACAGGGCTAAAGTGTGCGGCAGCTCACACAGATTATTCAGCGGTAAAGTGCACTCGCTGGCAGAGCCAAACTGGGAATCCTTGGGAATCCAAAGCAGCCCTGGAAAAAAAAGTATGCCATTCCTACAAGTCAATATATATAAATTATATATATATATATATATATATATATATATATATATATATATATATATAGTACAGTAAGCACACAAGCTCACTGACATGCGCAAATAGGCTTACTGACAGACAAAACTCTCTGACTCACACACAAGCTTACTACAGACACTCACTTGTATAAACAGAAGGCTCACTACAAAGAAGTTCAGGGACACACACACAAGCTCACTAAAGACAAGCTCACTGACACACACATGCTCACTAAATAGAAACTCACTGACACACACAAGCAGTACCATTTTAACAGAGTTAAGGGCCCCTGGGCAAAGCAATGCACTGGGGCCCTTCCTACACAACAACTCACAGGAAGTTTAATTATTGATAGACTGCTGAGTCCATACACACACACACACAGATTGCTGAGTCCATACACATACACACACACACACACACACTGCTGAGTTCATACACACACACAGACTCTGCTGAGTCCATACACACACACACAGACTCTGCTGAGTCCATACACACACACACACACAGACTGCTGAGTCCATACACACACACACACACACACAAACTGCTGAGTCAATACACACACAGACTCTGCTGAGTCCGTACACACACAGACTGCTGAGTCCATACACACACGCACACACACACACACTCTGCTAAATCCATACACACAAAGACACACTCTGCTGAGTCCATACACACACACAGACTGCTGAGTCCATACACACACACAGACTCTGCTGAGTCCATACACAC